GCACCACTGCTCAAAGTCTTTATAGTTTGTTTCATTTATAAACTCATGAATTTTAGTAAAAGTAAAATGAAATTCTTTTAAGTCCTTGGGTTATGACAAATCCCTATTTTTATTCTTTTTGGTGTGAGAATGATAATTCTCTATTTTATAGTGTAGTACGGTAGTATGATCACATGGTACCTAAAATGAAAAAATATTTTGAACCTAGTTCATTCATATTATAACACTTACCCTGAGTTATATTACGTGCAAGAGTGGAACTAAAAAATTGCAAAAGGGTGGGCTAATACTTTGTTAAACGATAAAACAAAATTAAGTCAAACCGAGAACAATTAAATTTTAATTTTTTTTTAACTTGAACGATTCAATTAACATGATATAAAACTTGAAAACTACGACTTTTCTTAACTAGCCAGCCATAAAAGTGAAGAATTTGCACATATGGGAGCTGGCTGGGGTGGGCTAAATGTCAAAATCTTGAAATTACCTGCTATAAAAAGTATTTTTGACCAAGGTTGCACTGGTCTATAGTCGAAGGTGGCTTATATGTAGTTCCACTTTTATTACGTGACCGTATTGCAGTATTATTATATAATTTCTCTTTAATTACCGAGAAAGGTGCCTAATTTAAAGCACAAACTTTCGTTAAAATATATAGTTGCATAGGAAATGCTTGAAGCATTTGTTTACATTATCAAATTATCCATTACCTTTAGTTCTTGAATTCCCAAAATTGTAACTTAAGGGACCATAATTAATTAAACGTAGAACGGTTGGATTTGTTTACTTCATGAGAGTTCACCAGGGAATTTCATAATGTTTCTCGAAATATGATTTTTTTTTTTTGGGGGGGGGGGGGGGTTGGGAATTACTTTTCCCTCATTGAAGGACATTCCCAAAAGTTCATTATTCCTTATTCTTTTGCTCTTAGGTTTTATGTCACTGATGATATCAAAATACAATTAATATAAATGAGGCAGTTTGTAGAGGACAAGCATAAATCTTTTTCATGTATATATCCTATCCTAGGATTCTGATGTGATTGCCTTTTTTTTTAAGCCTAAAGGCATAAAATTCCATGATCCGTAGTGACCGTATGGTATACATAGATGTTTTGTGCCAATCTTCTTGTACTATCCAATCTGCCAAAAACCTGTTTTAATTATATTGGAACTTTGAGAAGATTTTGGCCCCAAGGTTTTTAGTAAGTTTGTAACACTTTCTTTTGTTTTATAGGGATTGGGAGCTGATATATTCATGAATTGTATCTTTCTTTTTATATATTTTTATATGTTTTATATATACAAGCGTTATTGGGGGAGGGAGTTTTCACACATACACACACTGTCAAGGTGACATGATAGTTCAAAATTAAGACCACATATTTGCAAATTAAGGCCCTTTTCCACTGGACTAGACTCTATTAGCTTCATGAATTGTATTTTTGACTATATTATAAAGGACCGACAATTTGACCTATTCAAATCCTAAACAATTTTCTCCACCTTCGTTCACCACTTGGTCAATCCCGGACATTAAGAAGGCAGTAGTCTTTGTTGGTGATCAAACATGATTATGAACATCAATACTTTGTTACCTCCATAATTAGTAACAAACTAATGTTTTTCTTTCCAAATCAGTGCATTACAAATATTGTTTGAATACAATATCCATCGAAAGTAAGTAATCAGTAATCGCCTTGTTGGAAATCTTCTTATGGATAAGGTAAATACAATTTTTTTTTTTTTTTTTTTTTTTGGTTCTCAATCAATTGATTACATATGACCAATCACTTTCAAATGAATTATTTTTCAGAAATGATTATCTAAGATGACCTAACAATTATATGAAACCACGTTAATCATACTTAAAAACTTGGGGTTTTTCTTTGTTAATAACACATTGACTTAATTAGTAAAGAAACTTGGAAATTAATTTCAACCTACTTGCTTATTTATTTGTTGTGAAAGTTGCCTCCTCACCCTGGAGAAAGGAGATGATGATGCGTTTGAATTAGGTTAAACCGCAGTTGATTGGATATCCAAAGGGCTGGCGTGCGTGTACTCCATGACAGGATCATCAAGACAACAAGTGTTTCGATTTCTCCTCTTGTGTGATGTCTAGTTGCAGCACCACCATCCAATTTAAGCTTAATTAATTTATAATTTCACTGACTTTAGTATAAAAAGGGATTAATTAATGGGTGGTTTACAATTCATTAATCTAAGCTTAGTGGATTCCCCTTTTTAAAAATAAAAAATAAAAAATAAAAAATTAATGAAGTGGCTTTTCAGAGCCTGAGAGATATAAACAGTTGCAAGTGGTCATGTGGTTACACTGAGGAAAGGCAATTGGAAGAAGAAAAGGAGGGAGAGAATATGTTTTGTTTTATCAATGTGTGTGTTGATGAGGATTATTAAATTAACAGAGCTGGTAATTATTGAAGCAAAGGGGTCCCATGGATGGACATTGCGACTTTAAGTAGCATTTTGAATGTTGATCATAATTTTATATTGTGGATTTTAAAACTAGGGCACGTGAATCCATGTGAAGGGGGTCCTCCATGTTGTTAATTACTCTAGGATCCTTTCAGTGTTGGGTAGAAAATCCACTAAAGAGGTTGATTAATTAACTGTAAACACGTTTAAAGTTTTGATTAACTTTTTACAACTACTTGCTGGCACTTGGAGAAATTGACTGATGTTAAAGATTGCTATTTCAATTCCATGGCAGCTAGAGACTGATTAATGCATTAATAATTGATCTCCAGAACCATGTTTTTTTGTTTTCCAATTTTTATTTATCATGCGATCCATGAGGGAAATTTTTATTTTTCTATTATAAAAGAACTCGTTCAAACAAAAAAGTGCAGTATGATTTCTTCTAGAAATTTCTAAAACAATCCAGAGAAAATTTCAAAAGTAATCCACATAAATATTGTATTTTTTATGGATTTAAAACTGTATGTTATTAAATAAGGTGAGGATTTTTCCAATCAAATTGGAACCTCATTAGTCTCTTTTCTAATAAGGGGAAGGGGATTTGTCACATAACTAGTTATACATGATGTAGGAATTAGGGAATTAACAAACTAGGTATGTAGGAATTAGGGAGTTAACAAACTAGGTATGTTATGTTGAGAGTATCGGAGACGGAGGTCTAGCATAAAGAGCTTAAAGATTTTCAACCTCTCCAATTGGTTTTGGGTTGTATGCTTACATTCCTATATGATATCCGACTATCCATGTGGTAGGCTCAACGAACTCACATGCTGCCAAATCACCTAATAAAACATAAAATTAAGATATTAAAATTAAGATGTTGAGAGTATCTCACATCAAAGGATGAAAGTGTAGCTTAAGAGCTTAAATCTCTGTCCTAACGCTATTCACGTCGAACACGTGAGGGCATATTGAGGGCGTGTTGAGAGTGTGAATGCCACCTCTAAAATTAAAGTCTTGTCTAATAGTTCAAGATTGTGATCCCTCTCCACCAAATGCTAATTGATTTTGGATACTGAAGACTCACATTCTAATAAGTTAGCGCCTAACAAGTTAGATAAAGAAGTTAACCAATTGCGTGGATTTAATGATATTTCTGGATTGTGGATCTAACAAGTTCCTCATCTTCAAGAAATTGATATTTTTATATAAAAGTCATTAAGCTTATTAGAGTAATTTTACAAAGAATAATTGTCATTGCATTTGAACAAAAAACTATTCTAACAAAGTAATAGTATATATATACTGAATAAAAAAGAATAATTTCCCTTTTTTATGTTTTACGTCATTTCAATTAAATATGTATTTATTGTTGATCCCTACAAGAACATACAAAAACTTATGCAGAGTCTGGTATCTGATTTGAACATTACATCTCCTTTTGGACTGAGAGATAGTATGATTCATGATTCAACTCAAACGTTGTTTTACTCGGAAAAAAAACAAACAAACTTTGCACACATTTTGATTTCCTAGGCTGCTCATTTCATTCATCTTTTTGAGAAAAGATGACATTTCAATAAATGGTAAAAACTAGCATGTTAATAGTGATCTCGTTAAAACCTTCCCGTAGAAACTACGTTGAGCAAAAACCCGGAATAGAAAAGAGATGCATTTATAATTGAACATATTTTTTAAATCAGAGAAAACCCTGCCCACACGTTACATTAAATTGGGGAAAAAAAAGTGTAGAATAAAATAAAAAATACCTATCAATGATCCCAATCAAAAACCCCTGATGATAAAGTCAAAAATAGACCTAGATGATCATTGAATTCTTCTTGGCAAAACAGAGAAGTTACTTGATTGTTATTTTATTTCAAATCGGATCGAGAAGGTAAAATATTTTTCATTTTTTTGCCGCCACAGAAACCCCTCTTTTTTCACAATTTCTCTGCAGAACTAATTGGAAAGCTGGTATGTATACAAGTTCAGTTCGTTGGGCTAACCCTAGTTGTCATTCATTTGACATAAATCCTATTTAAAAGAAAGGGACAATAAAAAAAACAGAATCAAAAGTTACTGGCAAGCTTTCCCGAATGTTGGGTGCAGATTTGAAGAGAAACTTGAGGTGTAGAATTGAAGACAGAAAAGATGTTGATTAAATATTAGCTGCAGAAACCGAAATTAAAGCTTGTCAAAAGCTCTACAATTATTCTGACCACAAAAAAAAAAAAAAAGAGTTCTGTAATTATTTACTATATCTTCCAAGTCCAATCCATCATATCAGGTAATAAACTATAAATCATTGACAGATATAATAAAAAACTAGATTGAAACCCAAATTCCCCACCAAGAAAATTACACAAGAAATAAGTAGAAGGGGAAATACACCAGATCTTGAACAATTAGTAGCACAGAACCCCAATTCAAAATTAGAGTTACATCACTTATTATCTTTTTCATTGCAAACTGATCATCAAAAGGCAGTAAATTAACTCAAAAGAAGAAGCTAAGCTAGCTAGCTTTTATACTATAACATCCAGAAGACACCCAAAGTTTCTCTCTTCTAGTGTTCTTAATTCACATCCCTCCCTCTCCTGCTCTCTCTCTCTAACTCCTTTCTAAGATTTATATATTTCAATACAACAAAATGGAAGCACAGGCTTCAATTTTGATCTTGTCCTCAAAGTTTCAGTAAGGTGGTCTTGCCCAAGCATAGGCTTCATGGCCAAGCTGTCCATGGCCACCATTTGGGATCAGATTTGGAGGCAGATGATGACTGTAAATATTAGGCAGCCCTCCAGATGAAGGGTCAGGCAGCAGCTGCTGATGCTGATGCCCTCCACTCCCCAACTGGGCCCCACTGCTCCCTCCCCCAGTTGGAGAATTCCCTGAACCCCCATTGTTATGCCCTCCTCCTCCACTTCCTCCACCTTCTTCATCTTCCTCAAGAGGCAGCCTCTCATATGTAGCATTTGCAAATGTTGCTGCCACCACCATCACTGGCCCTGCTGCAACAAGTGACCCCACCACACTGCCCCCAACCACCTGCCCGTTCCCGGCCGCCAAGTACACCGTCAGCCCCGTCGACCCGGGTGGGGCGGGCCCGGGCAGGAAGGCACCACTCAGAGACAAAATCTCAAACCTTCCTTGTAGTGCCACAACAGCTCCAGGCGCCGCAGGTTGCCTGAGCGTTACATTCGCCACTGAGCCACTCCCGCTGAGAACACACACCCCTCTCTGCCGCCGCCTCGCAAACTGGGCCACGCTCTCTGCCACGTCAGCGCCTCCGGCCACCTCCATGACGTGGCTGCGGAGGGAGTTGGGGCTGTCCCGGGTGACGAAGATGGGGGGTTTGGGCTTGTTTTTGGATCCCGGAGGGCGGCCTCTTGGCCTGCGGGATCCAATCTCGACTGCTCCTTCTTTGGGCTCATCTTGGTCTCTGTCTTCATCTCCGCCGCTGCTTCTGCCGCTGTTGTTTTCATTGATAGAGATTTCGAGCTCGCGCTGCTTGTTGAGTGCGGCCGAATTGGTGGCTGCCGAGTCCATGCCCGGCAGCCCCAAGTTACCGCTCCACCAGGGGTTAGCCAGAGTGGCAATTGTCGATCAAATTTAAGGAATTGTAACAAGGAAGAGAGAAATTAACAAGAAGAGTATATAAAGACAAGCTATACTTTTTTTTTTTTTCTTTCCTTGTTCTCTTTTGTTTGAGAATTTGAGATCAAGAAGTCAAAGGCATATGTATATGCATACAGCTCATAATATACTCGAACAACGCATCAAGGGGTAAAAGAAGATGAAAAAGAAAAGAAGCAAAGCAAGCTTCTATAACCTAATAATATTCATATACTCACACAC